AGGAGGCCAACCCTGTGAGATCTAATGGGTCTGTGGGAGGTAATTGGCAGCAGGCGGTCTCTCAAGTTGTCTCTTGTCTTCACACCATGTTTCCAAAATATTTAAGCCTTAGCTTCATTATTAGTATTTGCAGTGAACAGTTCAGTCTCAAAATTCAAAAAAGGAAATACAGTACAATCGCGAGATTTCAAGCATACTAAACATAAATTGGAGTTTTAATTAAGGTGATACAAATACGTGTGTGTGTTTGTGTGTGTGTGTGTGTGTGTGTGTGTATCCTTTTTCAGAACCACCCTGTCTTGAGCCAGTAGTTACAAGCAAAGGAGGCCAGAGTTAGAATAGACCTTTTTAAGGCAGTTATAAATCTCACCACAGTGCGGAAATGAGAAAGTTCAGGAAAGGCAAATGAGCTTATTTCAGTTGCTGTGGTTCCACGCAGTCAAATCCAAGAGCTTGATATTAGAACCGAGTATAGTTTTGTTCCAATCCAAAAACCAGTCAGAGAATCAAATGCAGCATATATACTGTCTGTATTTAATTTTCCATCACGTTTACTAGGACCGTGCATGTAAATTTAACTATGCTACAGTTTGGAAGGTTTTATAACGGAGTGTAGAAGTTTCCTGGGAAGGCAAGCATGGATTTTTTTTTTCCAGGTTTCACATTGATTTTTGGGACTGCAGATGCTCACCGGTATAATGCTGCTTCTGGATGGTATTTTGATTGAGCCGAATGGTTGGGACTGCCAGCAGAGCTGGGGCTGTTTACTGGAAGTGAGAGGAGATTAAAGTGATTGCAGCAATACAAATAATAACAGTGGAGTAGTAATATGACTGCCTCTGCCTTTCCTAGTGAAGAAAGGGAACTAGAGAGTGGTATGGATGAGACTAGGAGAGGAGAGGAGCCCAGGTGGTTTTGGGTTTAGAATGCTGATCAGATTCAGCCTACTAGAAGAGGGTTGAATATATAGATACTCAACCCTGGGTCCTGGACAGGGGTGGGTTTCAACCGGTTTGCGGTGGTCCCTGTGAACCGGTTGGTCGGCGAACCCGGAAGTAAGTAACTTCCGGGAACGCCGAAGGGCCCACCCACCCGCCCTCCTTACCCAGTTTTAACGAGTTCTGCGCTTCCACGTATGCGCAGGACGCATACAGCGCCTGCGCGATCCTCCAGGAGCAGCTGGAGCATCACACAGATGCTAGTACACATGCGTGCACCGCGCACGTGCACGAGGACGCCGCCGGCCCCGTTCCAACCGGATCAGTTGGAATGGGGCAAGAAACCCACCCCTGGTCCTGGAGAAGAGATGGCAAACACAGTGCTATAGGGAGTAGAGGCAGGAACATTGCAATAGTGATGGGCTGGGGAAATAAGCTGGGAGTCACGGCGTAGCATGCTTATGAGTATATTAATGAATATATTTCTGGTGCATTCATATCACCCCTTGCATCTTCCCGAATACCAAGATGTTAAACTTTAGGAGGCCCAGGTGTTTCCAGGTGTTATTACTCAATACCAGATTGGTCTCTAACAAGACTCACCACAACTGTTATTATAAAAGTATTTGGTACTTGGTATGCATTACTCAAGCTTGGCTGGGCA